TCAAGTGTTTGTTTTTATTTATGTGTTTTTATATATTGTTTTTTTCCATTCCTGATCCCGTAGAGCCAAGATTTTTCGACGATTTATTCGTAAATTATTGGCATTAAAGTCTCAAAATTCTTGTAAGAAAGGGAAAAAAAAATTCTAAAAAAACTTATTTCTTACATCTGTATCACATTATATAAATTTTTGGGAAAATACATGTGAAAAAAATCTGATACGAATTTCAAATTAATTTCAAACGAATTTCAATTTAAATTTAAAAAAATAATTATATGAATATTAAATGCAGCATTTACTTCCTTATTAAATAGTAAAGTTATGTGTGGCTCATGTGACTTGCTGCAGATAAGTATATTGAGAGAAAAAAAAATCCTATAGCATTTCCTATATACCTACATACTCGGATGTGCGACCATAGAGGTATAAGAATAGAGGAAAAAAGGGGGCGTGATAATGTGATATGCGACAGCAGAATTCGCTACGTAACGAGGCATCTGCCTTTGTCTGGCAGTTATGTTATTGGTCGAGTCCTACATGAGATTGAATCAACTGTAGGATTCAGGACGAAGAAGTAGCCAATAACGTGGCTTTGGCAACAAGGACAGATGCCCCGTTACACTTAATTATGCTGTCGCTGCTGCTAATTAAATGGGCTAGTATAGCGCTTTTCCCCTCTATTCTTATACCTCTATGTGTGCGACAGTCCACTCGCAGTTAGCAGTTCGTTGTTTATGTCAAACGTTGGTTTTCGCAACCTCTTTTACAGTATGGATGGTTTTTAATAAAATTCGCCATTGGTAAAAATATAGAACCAATAGGCTTTTAATTCTGCATTGCTGTCGAGTGTAATAAATACAAAAAAAAAAAAAAAAAGAGTCCGATTTTCGCGAGAGGAAATGGAGGAAAAAGCAGTAGAAATTATCCTCAAGGTGTGCGTCGTTGGTGCTGGCGCAGCTGGTTTGTGCGCCGCGCGACATTTGGCGGCAGATTCGAAACATTTCGAGTTCGTGGTGTTCGAGAGACAGGGCGAAGTTGGAGGTACTTGGACGTACAACGATCGGATTGGACTGGACGAGGATGGACTACCGGTGCATTCTAGCATGTACAGGGATCTCAGGTCTGGGAGAGCTGGATTTTTTTCTAGTTTGATCAGAACATATTTATTTATTTGTTTGTTATTTATTTAGTACCAATAATGATAGAAATTAGATACATTAAATAATAATGAAATTTAATAAATACAAATGCATTAAATTATACCAAATGTATTAAATGTGTAAATAATTTGAGATAATAGTATTTTTCGGTACCGGTGCGGCACGTCCACTGGCATCGAATAAGAAATTACTAAATGATGACGCGAGAAACGTTCAAAGTTGAAAAATATTATCCAAGTGAAAAAAGCAAATGTTTCATTTTATGTTTTCGCGTAAGAAAAAGCATCCTGTTGCGAAAAAACATGTTTTCCACTTACAATAATTTTACTTCCTTACAACCTGTTTCTTAACTTGGAAATTTTATTACAAACAGTTCTATTAAATCGTTACAATTAGATTTATTCATATTTTTATTTTTTAGTCCATAACAATTATTCTAGTTAAACAAATGTAAACTAGTATCTAATAACTGTATTTCTTTTACTACTTCAAACATGTGTTGATTAAAAATTTTGATTTCTGGTTATTATGAAGTTACGTAAGAAGTATGTACTTTTTAGTAACTTACTAGTAAGTTACTAAAAAGTACATACTTCTTACGTAACTTCATAATAACCAGAAATCAAAATTTTTAATCAACACATGTTTGAAGTAGTAAAAGAAATACAGTTATTAGATACTAGTTTACATTTGTTTAACTAGAATAATTGTTATGGACTAAAAAATAAAAATATGAATAAATCTAATTGTAACGATTTAATAGAACTGTTTGTAATAAAATTTCCAAGTTAAGAAACAGGTTGTAAGGAAGTAAAATTATTGTAAGTGGAAAACATGTTTTTTCGCAACAGGATGCTTTTTCTTACGCGAAAACATAAAATGAAACATTTGCTTTTTTCACTTGGATAATATTTTTCAACTTTGAACGTTTCTCGCGTCATCATTTAGTAATTTCTTATTCGATGCCAGTGGACGTGCCGCACCGGTACCGAAAAATACTATTATCTCAAATTATTTACACATTTAATACATTTGGTATAATTTAATGCATTTGTATTTATTAAATTTCATTATTATTTAATGTATCTAATTTCTATCATTATTGGTACTAAATAAATAACAAACAAATAAATAAATATGTTCTGATCAAACTAGAAAAAAATCCAGCTCTCCCAGACCTGAGATCCCTGTACATGCTAGAATGCACCGGTAGTCCATCCTCGTCCAGTCCAATCCGATCGTTNTAATTATAAAAATAACTAAAATCGCCGTGAATACAAAGGTCGATGAAGTTTTTGTGGTATTTAATTGGTGTTCGGAGTTATAATAATATTAACTACAGTAGTTATATTGATAATATTAATAATTTTAAAAATAACCGAAATCACGGTGAATACAAGAATTGATGAAATTTTTGTGGCAATCGATTGGAACCCAGTGTAAATATTCGAACGATTTTCAGAACCAACCTACCGAAAGAGATAATGGGCTTCCCGGATTATCCGGACATAAAAGGTGGCGCAGGAAGTTGCGTATCGCACCGCGTTATTTTGGATTACCTGAAGAGCTACGCCACTCATTTTCAACTGCGCCAGTACATTCAGGTGCCCATATCGAAAGTGAATTTTTTATCGCCCCTCAAAATAATCATGTTCTATTTGCCTTTCAGTTCCAAACAGTGGTAGAGTCCATAAAGTTGAAAGACCCGAGCAGCGAAAAATGGCAGGTCAGAGTGAGAAACGTCGGAAACGAGAGAACCGACACTCTGGTCTTTGACGCCGTGATCATTTGCAACGGGCAAGTCTATTAACAGTACACCCAAAAGTCACACGCATCCATTTGTTCATGTACCTATATTCCAGACACTACTCGGACCCTCGCATCCCCCGAATCCGGGGCCTCGGCGATTTTAAGGGCCTGACGATGCACAGCCACGACTACCGGTACCCGGAGTTTTTCGCCGGCAAACGCGTGGTGGTGCTCGGCGCCGCCAGCTCGGGGATCGACATCGCGACCGAGTTATCTCGGAGCGCGTCGCACGTCCACTTGAGCCACGACAACGACAGGCAAGTCCGACAACCAATGGGGGCTATTCTGCCGCTGGGGGCGCTCGCCATCACATGAGGTACTCGCGTGTATTTCGTATATCTGTATATAACGATGCGCACGTGCACTCGGATAAAATATATAGATATACACTAAAACGTGTTTAGTACCTCGTGTGATGGCGAGCGCCCCCAGCGGCAGAATAGCCCCCATTTCAGGCACGAGACGTAAAAAATCGTGTCCGCATGTCCAGATTGGCTGGAAAAGGCGAGTCCTTGGGGTTCGAGGAGGTGGTTGGCATCGACGGGTTCGCCGACGATAAGTTCATCCTTAAGGACGGAACGTCTGTGGCGGGCGTGGATGCTTTGATACTCTGCACGGGCTACAACTTCACGTACCCCTTTCTGGACGCCAGTTGTGGGGTGAAAATCGACGACAACTACGTGTCGCCGCTTTACAAGCACCTCGTCAATGTCGAGCACACCAGCATGTGTCTCGTTGGCTTGCCCATGACCGTGGTTCCCTTTCCGATGTTCCACATGCAGGTGAGCGCTACGCACACGAGGATCGTGGCAGCAAATTTTTGTAAGGGTAAATGTCCCTATTCGTGGAATGTGTCCCTATTCATGGAATATGAAAATTCATGTATTTGTTATTTAACTAACTTGATAAAAAAATTGTGGTAGTTGTATATTTTATGTATCTTTATGAATTCGCAAGAAAAATTTCATTTTACACATAATAAATGACCAATTTTAAAGATAATTCTATTCATAGAGACAAGGTTGAACATAACCTATCTTTTGAACTGTACGTATTATGGCACCAAACTTCAACGAGGAATTTATATACTTCTAGGAAACAAACAAACGATATAAATATTTTTGTTAAATAAAATAGTGTTATGCAAGTAAAAAAGCTTTAATTGTCTTAAAATATTATAATCAATTTACGTTTTTTAAAAAGTTTCATAAATAGGGACATAATATGAAACAATAGATACAACGTTTCATAATTATGTATATTTTGGTCTTTTAATTTTTCTTATAAAATAAAGTATTTTAACAATTAAGAACCATATTGAAAAATTATAATAATAATGGTAAATTTATAGAGCACCAGTTAATACCAAAATTTCAACTGTTAAAGCTTACAGTTAAGAAAAAAAATTAAAGAAGTACGTGTGATAAAATTTGTGGTCATAATAGGGACATTTACCTTACGCAAAATATCTCGCACGAGGTTATCGATTGAAAACCACACGATGTATTTTTTATGATTAATTTTATATATGCACAATATGTGTGCCTAAATCAACGTTGATTTTGTGCACATATAGTATCAAGATTGAATGTTGTCTGAACAAAAAAACTCCTACAATTTCGGCACAAATACTATGGACGAAAAAATGTTCATAAAATACAATGTGATCGCTATTTATTCACTTGTGTAAGATATTTTGCGTACAAAAGCACAAGAAAATTGTGTGCACTGGGCATAGTCTGCCGTAAGCGCAATACATAGTTTTTTTGTTTTTTTTTCATCAATTCATCAATAAATCGGTACATGTGGTGGGCTTCAGGTGAGATACTTTATCTCGACGCTGAGGGACAAAAGCCGATTGCCTGCGGTTGGGGTGATGCTGGAGGACTCGAGGTTGAAGGCGTCGGAGAAGCGCCACGCCCACAAGTTGGGGAACGCTCAGTGGGCGTACAACGACAGTTTAGCCCGGGAGAGTGGTGTCGAGCCACTGCCTGGTTACTACGAGCTTGGCTACGCGGCTTGGTGGAATCTTAGAAAAGCGCACCTCATGGATTACAAGAGTTTCGATCTTTTTGTTTCGGCGGACGGGGCGAGGGTGGGCATTGTGGTGCCAAGAAGGGACGAAAAAAAACAATCAATGACACCCTAGTATTTACGAATGAGCGTACGTTTTGTTTTTTGTATCAACATTCATTTTTTTGGATTTAATGGGGTGCAGTTGCGCGATTGTTGCTATTCCTGTTTCCTCACTAAACTTCATTTTCAAGCTGCCCAAGTAATTGTTGATCTGATGTGATTAAAAATTTTGTAAAATTTTGTTTTTGGGTGTTATTTATAATCTGTTTTGTGTTGCTAGTCGGCTTATTACTGAAACAGTTGTAGATGACGCTATCGAAAAAACTCAACGTAAAAAATTAAATAATAAAAAAATTCACCCATGCCTCATATCCTTGATACTATTTTTATCGAGTTCTTTATCCTATTTATTGCAAAAGAAATAAAAATCACACATCAGGTTGTGTTTTTTGCGGCTTTCCTGATTTTTTTTAAAGACATTTTCTGATTTTTTTTCATTCAGATAAAATTGTTAAATTTTTTGTTTTATAATGTAATACTCCTAATAAAACTATTCTTCTTTGTTGTCTAATAAAATTTTACACTTTCTCAATTCTCATATAAATCGTATTTTTTATTTTAAATTAAATATTTTTCTTATTANCTTAATGTTATTGTTATTTCAGACGACAATATCAGATAGTTTGATTTTATAAGATATCTAGAAATGGGCTCCAACCAAGGTGACCCATATGCAATGAAAGCAGACAGTGGTCTGAATATTAATACAAGGAATCTAGAAATAGATAACGCTTCTCATCAAAAGACTTTATTTTAAAATTTTTTTTTAAATGAAATGAGGAGGAGGAATGTGTATAGTTGAATGGGTTCATAGAGCCCAGAACAGTGCTCGTTATTAAAGGAATGAGAGGAGGAGCGATTGTGCTATGGAGTGGAACGAATTAAATGGCAAAATAACAGTTTTTTTTTGGAGGACATAAATCCAAGTTCACGGAAGGACACAGTCAAACCTTGGTCTTTAAGGTTCAGAATAGATCAATGGATACAAGAAATGAAGAAAAACTCATTCAACATCCAACGACTGTAATTGTTTTTTTTAAATTATAACTTTATCGCTTACAAAACCAAATAATATTAGGCATATTAAACAAAATTGTTGCCTAACAGAGTAAATGTTACTTAATGTTATTGTTATTTCAGACGACAATATCAGATAGTTTGATTTTATAAAATATCTAGAAATGGGCTCCAACCAAGGTGACCCATATGCAATGAAAGCAGACAGTGGTCTGAATATTAATACAAGGAATCTAAAAATAGATAACGCTTCTCATCAAAAGACTTTATTTTAAAATTTTTTTTTAAATGAAATGAGGAGGAGGAATGTGTATAGTTGAATGGGTTCATAGAGCCCAGAACAGTGCTCGTTATTAAAGGAATGAGAGGAGGAGCGATTGTGCTATGGAGTGGAACGAATTAAATGGCAAAATAACAGTTTTTTTTGGAGGACATAACTCCAAGTTCACAGAAGGACACAGTAAAACCTTGGTCTTTAAGGTTCAAAATAGATCAAGATGGATACAAGAAATGAAGAAGAACTCATTCAACATCCAACGACTGTAATTGTTTTTTTTTAATTATGACTTTATCTCTTACAGAACCAAATAATATTAGGCATATTAAACAAAATTGTTGCCTAACAGAGTAAATGTTACTTAATGTTATTGTTATTTCAGACGACAATAATAGTTTGATTGTATGAAACACCTAGAAATGGGCTCCAACCAAGATGACCCAAATGCCATGTAAACAGACAGTGGTCTGAATATTAATAAAAGGAATGTAGAAATAGATGACGCTTCTCAACAAAAGACATTATTTTTAATGTTTTTTTTTTACTTAAATGAGGAGGAGGAATGTGTATAGTTAAATGGGTTCATAGAACTCAGAACAGTGTTCGTTAATAAAGGAATGAGAGGAGGAGCGATTGTGCTATGGAGTGGAACGAATTAAATGGCAAAATAACAGTTTTTTTTTGGAGGACATAAATCCAAGTTCACGGAAGGACACAGTCAAACCTTGGTCTTTAAGGTTCAGAATAGATCAATGGATACAAGAAATGAAGAAAAACTCATTCAACATCCAACGACTGTAATTGTTTTTTTTAAATTATAACTTTATCGCTTACAAAACCAAATAATATTAGGCATATTAAACAAAATTGTTGCCTAACAGAGTAAATGTTACTTAATGTTATTGTTATTTCAGACGACAATATCAGATAGTTTGATTTTATAAAATATCTAGAAATGGGCTCCAACCAAGGTGACCCATATGCAATGAAAGCAGACAGTGGTCTGAATATTAATACAAGGAATCTAAAAATAGATAACGCTTCTCATCAAAAGACTTTATTTTAAAATTTTTTTTTAAATGAAATGAGGAGGAGGAATGTGTATAGTTGAATGGGTTCATAGAGCCCAGAACAGTGCTCGTTATTAAAGGAATGAGAGGAGGAGCGATTGTGCTATGGAGTGGAACGAATTAAATGGCAAAATAACAGTTTTTTTTGGAGGACATAACTCCAAGTTCACAGAAGGACACAGTAAAACCTTGGTCTTTAAGGATTTGATGTTGCATTTAAAAATTAACATCTGGAATGAGGACTTGATTAGACTTTTTTTTTTTTTTACATGTTTGCTTGACATTATTTTAAGTAAAATAAAAAATCGAGTGCGAATCAATATGTATCATTTTAATAATAAAAAAATTTATCTCACTGTTTGCATTTCTTAAAAAGTCAATGTTATACAGCAGCACCGACCGTTATATGAATTATTTTTCTTGCATTTTTATAGTTGTGTTCCAATTTTCAGTTAATATCAAGGCATCTGACGTAATCAACTATGAAACAAAGGCTTTAGCATCATTAAATTTTAAGACAAATTTTTCAGAGCTTATTTAAAATAAGTACGCAATATAAATCAAGTAAAAAATTTTTTAATAAATTGTTAGATAAAAAATATTCCTGACCTTTAATCAAACCAAAAATATTTTTCCCTTATTCCTGGAAAAAACATGTGTAAGAATATTTTTTGTTTTTTCGCTGCCTAGAAATGTGCAGTCAAATCGTATTTTTTATCGATTTCAAATTATATTAGTACTTAAAAAATGTCGTTAAAAGTTACTAAAAAAAAAATTGATTTTTCCTGTTCCTTTCTCTGTTTATGCCCCGAGCCTCACCCTCGTCTCGCACTCCAAAAATCTATATTAGTAAAAATCAACGCATACTTTATATTACAATAGTTCAACCTTACCATTTCGAAAAATAAGTGTTGAAATCATGGAGTCAAATTAACTTTATTTATAGTAATTGTAACAATACTATTGCCTACTCCAGTTTTGGAACTGGGTAACTATGATGAAATACGTCACCGTCGTACTGGTCATCTGGAAAAAAAAAAATTAACTTCAAAACCTTCGTAGTTTAAAAATGAAAAACCACATCTCACCGATACTAGCAGAGATTCGTCGAGTGAAAACAAGTTGTACACGGTAAACTCCGTTTTACCACTATCCAAGTAATTGCTGAACTTGTACAACCTATCAACGATTTCCGGATTTTCAGTAACTTGCAAGTAATCGCTGACAACCTGTCCTGTTTTTCTGCTCTGCTCAATCATGTTTTTAATCAATGCTAAGTCTCACGAATGGCACAAAATATGAAATAATTGGCAGTTACCTCGCTCATGGTATTTGAAACATTGGTGGTCAGCACTATCAACAAGATGACGTACAAAATGACATGGAGAACGGAGTAAATGATGTCGTACACGGCGGAATCGTACTTGGTGAGGATGGAAACCTCGAGGGCGTAAAATATATTGAAAATAACGATGAAGAAGATATTGATCGAGTTGAGCAGCATAGGCAGGGAATAAAAACTCGATACCTCCCGCGACACTTGTCTGAGCGATGAGTGCAGCAAACGCAGGTCCGACAATTTTTTCTTCGCTTCCATGGTATTGCTGCCTTTACGAGCAATCGTTACCTTCAGTCTTGCCTCTTCTACCATATCCGACAAGCTGTTGTTGACGAATTGAAAGTACTGCCGCAACAATAACAGTATTATCGAGTACTGTATGAGAAGGGAGCAATTTATGGAGTAGCACACGAACTCCCGTACCAAGTAACAAATTTGGGCTGCGCTTCGAAAGGGCCACGTTGTGAAAATCAAACAACAAAACAGCGCGTAGATCAGGAAAAGCGTCGTGGCGTTTTTTACGGACAAAATTTCGCCGTTTGGCTCATTCATAGCGTTGGCGAGGTATCTTATGTCGTTTGCGCTGCTCAACACCTTTATGATCTTCTTTTGATTGAAAGAGTAAATCAACAGCGTAATGATACTCGCCAGGGCGAAACGTACGTGCTCCGTCATGTATAACACCGTTACCTTGAAATGATCCAATTTCAAATTCAACTTCAATTCTTGGTGGAATATGATGGAACTTAGCGCCACTATTGTACATATTAGGAATGTGTTGTAGATAATTGAGTACGTCGAGGTCGTGAATTTCCAGTGCTTGATGTTCTTGTTGTCGCTTGTGGCCTCGATTTTACAGTTCACGGTCGCTACACCTGATAACTTGAATAAGTAAAGTGCCAATTTTGCAACGAAAATCTTGTTACTCGAAAAATTGGTAAAATATTTCATGGCTGGGGACTTGTATGTGTATGATTTGTGGGCAAATTTATTCCTGACAACGGAGCAAAGCGATAAATATCGAACTAAAAGGCAGGTCGGAAAATCAATTTTACATAATTCACTAATGGAAATAGTACACGCTTCACTTGCACGTGAATTATTAATGAGATTTTGTGCTTTCTTCAACAAGAGATAGGATATGCTACTTGAACAAAATTTTTCATACTTTTTTCCTTGATTAATTAAAATTCCTCCATTACATGATGAACTTTAATTCAATATTTTTTGACTAAGTACCCTTTTTTTAGAAAATTCAAGTTTTTAAATAATATTACGTATTTTGTTGGATTTAATTTGTATTCTTTGATGTCTTAGGTATACAATAAATAATAAACGGCTACAATCATTCATAGGTTCAAAAAATTTTATTTTTAAATCTTACAACATTATAACATAACATTAAAAAATATTAAACATATAATACAGTACAACACAATACCATGATGTACAACATTTGCGATCAATTAATATTTACAATTGTTATTTCTTCACTATACAGTGTCGGATTCGATAAACAATCTTACCAACTTAAATTAACTTCCTCGAGTGGAGATTAACCTTGAAGGTTCTGCCTCCAAGAAGCCTACTACAGCAAACGATAAGGAAGAGAGGAGGGGTGGAACGAATGAAATGGCGAAAGCCGATTATAACGGAGGTTAAACCGCAGTTTTTTTGTTTGGAGGACATAACTCCAAGTTCACAAAAGGACACAGTTAAACCTTGGTCTTTAAGGTTCAAAATTATCAAAGGATACAAGAAATGAACAAGAACTCATTCAACATCTAACGACTGTAATTGTTTTTTTTAAATTATTACTTTATCGCTTACAAAACCAAATAATATTAGGCATATTAAACAAAATTGTTGCCTAACAGAGTAAATGTTACTTAATGTTATTGTTATTTCAGACGACAATATCAGATAGTTTGATTTTATAAGATATCTAGAAATGGGCTCCAACCAAGGTGACCCATATGCAATGAAAGCAGACAGTGGTCTGAATATTAATACAAGGAATCTAGAAATAGATAACGCTTCTCATCAAAAGACTTTATTTTAAAATTTTTTTTTAAATGAAATGAGGAGGAGGAATGTGTATAGTTGAATGGGTTCATAGAGCCCAGAACAGTGCTCGTTATTAAAGGAATGAGAGGAGGAGCGATTGTGCTATGGAGTGGAACGAATTAAATGGCAAAATAACAGTTTTTTTTGGAGGACATAACTCCAAGTTCACAGAAGGACACAGTAAAACCTTGGTCTTTAAGGTTCAAAATAGATCAAGATGGATACAAGAAATGAAGAAGAACTCATTCAACATCCAACGACTGTAATTGTTTTTTTTTAATTATGACTTTATCTCTTACAGAACCAAATAATATTAGGCATATTAAACAAAATTGTTGCCTAACAGAGTAAATGTTACTTAATGTTATTGTTATTTCAGACGACAATAATAGTTTGATTGTATGAAACACCTAGAAATGGGCTCCAACCAAGATGACCCAAATGCCATGTAAACAGACAGTGGTCTGAATATTAATAAAAGGAATGTAGAAATAGATGACGCTTCTCAACAAAAGACATTATTTTTAATGTTTTTTTTTTACTTAAATGAGGAGGAGGAATGTGTATAGTTAAATGGGTTCATAGAACTCAGAACAGTGTTCGTTAATAAAGGAATGAGAGGAGGAGCGATTGTGCTATGGAGTGGAACGAATTAAATGGCAAAATAACAGTTTTTTTTGGAGGACATAACTCCAAGTTCACAGAAGGACACAGTAAAACCTTGGTCTTTAAGGTTCAAAATAGATCAAGATGGATACAAGAAATGAAGAAGAACTCATTCAACATCCAACGACTGTAATTGTTTTTTTTTAATTATGACTTTATCTCTTACAGAACCAAATAATATTAGGCATATTAAACAAAATTGTTGCCTAACAGAGTAAATGTTACTTAATGTTATTGTTATTTCAGACGACAATAATAGTTTGATTGTATGAAACACCTAGAAATGGGCTCCAACCAAGATGACCCAAATGCCATGTAAACAGACAGTGGTCTGAATATTAATAAAAGGAATGTAGAAATAGATGACGCTTCTCAACAAAAGACATTATTTTTAATGTTTTTTTTTTACTTAAATGAGGAGGAGGAATGTGTATAGTTAAATGGGTTCATAGAACTCAGAACAGTGTTCGTTAATAAAGGAATGAGAGGAGGAGCGATTGTGCTATGGAGTGGAACGAATTAAATGGCAAAATAACAGTTTTTTTTTGGAGGACATAAATCCAAGTTCACGGAAGGACACAGTCAAACCTTGGTCTTTAAGGTTCAGAATAGATCAATGGATACAAGAAATGAAGAAAAACTCATTCAACATCCAACGACTGTAATTGTTTTTTTTAAATTATAACTTTATCGCTTACAAAACCAAATAATATTAGGCATATTAAACAAAATTGTTGCCTAACAGAGTAAATGTTACTTAATGTTATTGTTATTTCAGACGACAATATCAGATAGTTTGATTTTATAAAATATCTAGAAATGGGCTCCAACCAAGGTGACCCATATGCAATGAAAGCAGACAGTGGTCTGAATATTAATACAAGGAATCTAGAAATAGATAACGCTTCTCATCAAAAGACTTTATTTTAAAATTTTTTTTTAAATGAAATGAGGAGGAGGAATGTGTATAGTTGAATGGGTTCATAGAGCCCAGAACAGTGCTCGTTATCAAAAGAATGAGAGGAGGGGCGCTCGGTCTACAGGAAGAAACAAACAGGCAAAAATATCAAAAGTTTATTTAAGGGAGTCATTTTTGAGGTTACCCGCATCCAAATGAGACATTTGTATATTGAGAAATAACATGTAAGTCGACACAAAAAATGTAAGAGGAGCTGCAAGGCAATCAACTATGGTGTAGAAAAAAAAACTGCCAAGAGCTTAGGTAGAAGATCGTTTGGATTGCCTTATTAACACTTTATTCTACTCCGATGGGTTACCTCGGCACCATAGAGGAGAACCGCTGCATAAAGAATTTTAGATACTCTCTTAAAGCGTTACATGCAAGCTGAAAGAATTGGGAGATGTTTTGCTCCTTTTAACTTTCTCAATAGATAAGAAAGTCGCTCCTATATTTATTTGGTATATTTATAAAAACTTTTACAAGCTATAAAGACAAAAGGAGTGGGTTACTCAGAACCCGCTGGTATAGGTAGACCCTCATTTACAAGGAACAAAAAAAGAAAAATTACAAAAGAATTATCGTTGAGAATAGGCTTGTCAACAATCGATTACGACTCTGATGCTTTACTTTTTTATGCTTTGAAGAAAGCTGCAGAGTTTTTAGCAAAAGAAAGAGGTATCGGAGGGGGGGTGGGGATACAATCAATGGGAACTACCATTTGGTGGATAATGGAAAACGATGATTTTTGAGAGAGGAAAAGACGATTTCATTACAGAAGAGAAAGAAAATTTACTTCTGTGACGCTAGATATGAAAATATCCCGCACCGAGGTTTAATTTATTGTGTTCTAACAAAATTATTTTTGTGCTAGAATTCGAGTATCTTTGGCATGTATATCGACGTGAAAAGCATCAGTCTCAGGACTCCACAGCAATCCCAGGACAGAAACGGTGCTTACAAGTTTAGGCTTATTCACCAAATATTCAAAAGGTATCTTAGAAGGTACCCATGTTAAACAATCGCATTTGTGCCCCGAGCTGGGCTTAACTAACGGTAATCCGGAATGGAATGTTTAAAATGTACGCAGAAAAGTAAAAAAAAAAATTCCACTCGATTGAAGAAGTATTTCACGTGGCTCTGAATAAACGCAAATCATCGGTGGAACGAGCTATGGACGTACGAGGGTTATCGAGTAAGCGTTGGCCATGTTTCAATAAGTGTAAATGTACCTGACGTAATGCTCATGCGATAGCACACCCAAGCTGGTACAATGGCGCCGAGGCGCGCGAGAACAACGGCAGCTAACACGAGGCATGGCGGCCTTCATGACTCGGCGGCTATACTTCATGCAGAGAGCCCATCATGGGGATTCTTGAGGTAAAGCTCGTTGATAAATGGAGATGGCGATGATTGTCTACACCCAGGGAGATTTCCGATGTAGCTTCTGCTGCTGCTCCTCTCCATTGTTGTGTGCACCTGTTTGGAACGAAACAAAGATTATAACAAACAGTGTTTATATGCATATGGGTGATATCGGTATGTACACACTCACTAACCGGTATTGTTGCTAACTAATTGCGACGACGTCTCATTCGGTTGCGAGTGAAAAAAATAAGTACCACAAACTGTGTAAGTACACGAGTCAACCGAGTGCTTTGGTATTCAGAGAGCGATTGCTGTAGAAGTGTCGGCGTTGCTGTGCCTAAACGGAAAAGGCTTCGGTCGCTTGTAACACTGTACTTATATCATACGAGTCACCCATTATACATAGTATATTTATCATCACACTATCACTCGAGTTGGAATTGTTTATATATACATATCTGCTTAGTCATGGTCGCGCCATCTGGCGGATAAATTGCGGCATTGCGGCGATACGTCCTCGTATAGTGCGCTTGTGAAAGAGTATAGAGTATGTATAGCACTGCCTCTGCCAAGATAGATAAGATGGCTTACGAGTAAAATAAAAGTGAGTTAGTACTACTCGAGCCGCGTGTATGCTCATAAAGAGAGCGGGAAAGAAAAAATGAGCGGTCGCCTCGATACGAGCACTGACAATGAGGGAGCGGAGTAAGTACAATAGATTTTTAAATTTTCGACAATGGAGGTCAATAAAGATAATGGATAGTGAGTGCACTCACACTTGAGTTCCGTGGTTACATGGATGGGCAAGCTTATGTAGCTTGCGTAAAACAAAAAAGAAAGTTCCCTCGTAATCAGTTCAGTGGCATTGAGAGAAAAAAATGTAATTTATACTTGGCACCAGAGTGGCAGAAATTTTGGGACTCGATAAGAGAGAGAGAGAAAATTAGTTTTTTTTTCGTCAAATTATATCCAATTTCAAGTGAAAATTAAGTAAAATAACGCCATGGCGTTACTTGAAATTCGAAATTTTTTATTACAGACACAAACTAAACTTAAAACGCGCGTATTTCCGTAAATAACGGAGGTATCGCAACAGAAACGATAATGATGGGTCATAAAAAATAAAAAAAAATTTTTTTTAACTTGCACATACATATACTACACCTTAGCCTTTATTAAAAAAAAAAACCATTGAAATAACTAAGATAACTTTTGGACAGTCCACTACATCACTATGAACGACTACAACACCGTGGAATTACTTAAAATTCAACATTTTTGGCTGATAAAACAGCCTAAACTTTCAACGCCAGTATGTTTGTAAATAATATTGATATAACGATTTTTATTAATTTTGGATCATCCAAATAAATAAAAAAAATTTTTTTTAATTTTGGTATACTAGGCCTTGGCCATCGTTTAAAAAATCATTTTAACAACTACAATAATCTTCATCAATTTAAAATCTGTTCGATGAGAAGCACAAAAAACACAAAAGGTTTGTGCACACAAAAAATTTTTTACTGCGTATTTGTAACTCGACATCCGCGAAACACAAAATTTTCTGCGGCCTATTTAAGAAAAAAAGCCACACTAAAGTATTGGCTACGATAAGAAAATGTACAGTTACTACCGACATTTTATCCTTCAGGTCCCACAAAAGGTTTCCAACTAATGTTCTTTACTTACAGCGTTTTCTTACTAAACGATTACACTTACTAAACAAAACACTTACGACATACATGGTTTCAGGTTCACATGCATACCCATTCTTGAGTGACTGCCCGAAAAACCTTTGACCCGAAAGAAGGCCAACTGTCAAGAATTTCCGTCGACATACGTATAAACGTACACGGGAAATAAAATTGAAAATTTGGACCCCATAAACTCTGATCCAACATCTTCCTCACAAGCTGTTACCTCGCCATATCAAAACAAAAAAGGTAAAAAAAATGGCACCTATGCGCGAAAGGACGAACAAAATACCCCACAAAAGCACCCACGTCCACTAGACGAGCCCGAAAAAACCGATCGTACCCAATAAAACAGCACCTGCGGAGGCAATGACGAGGAGGCAAGTATAAAGCTCCCACGAAGAAAAAGAGCGAGGGAGAGGGGCTGTGGCTCGTCTATTTTCGTAAAAGACGCTCTAGCGTGAGAACCGAGAGAGCTTTTTGGATTGTACCCCTTCCTTCGACACCACTACCATACACACTCGCCTCTTCTCTATTCCTCGGGCGTATATTTTCAATGCTCGGGGAAGAGGACGCGACCCGCGAGGGCAGTATGTATACCAGCCGGCGGCCTTGCTCTCAGCCGCGGAGTGCCACCAGCATCAGTTCGGCCCGATCCCTCATCCGCGAGCCAACTCGTGCGACGAGCTTTAATATCGTGTCTTTTTTTTTAATTTTTTTTTTTTTTCCTTCCCTTTCCTCGTGGTTACAATACACACCCCACACGTGAACCACTCGTATATACACGCATGTATATAGTGCGGGCTTGAATACAAGACAAAGATTGTCTTTGTCGTGATTGGTTGTGCGATTTTCTATTGTTTTTGGTTGTTTTTTTTTTTTTTTTTTTTTTTTTTTTTCTTCATGCTAATCGAAATCGGTTCGTTCGATCGGTGCAGTGCAGTCATCCGAGGAAACGGAGTCGATGATCGGCAAGAAGAAGTTCCGGACGATGCTCAAAGAGGTCGTTAACCGGTCCATTTGGAAGAGGAAAAAGTACGTCGTCTGGGCCAGCGCGATACCGATCGCGTTGTTCGGGTGAGCTTCTTTTCATCGTCGAAAATAAATCGGTAATCGAAAGAAAAAATAAAATAAAGAAAAACCAAAACTGTTTGCAGGTACTTTGTCCCGTACGTTCACATTGGAAAGTACGTCGACATAACGTTCGAAAAAGCCGACAAAACGTACCCTCTGATGTGCATCGGTATAACATCCGGCATCGGACGGCTCGTCTTTGGTTACGTCGCCGATCTTCCGAGAGTCAATAGAATACTCCTCCAGCAGGTATAATTCATATGCCATCAATGTTGTTTGCTTTTTTACTTTTAAAAATTCCTTGTTGAAATTAAAAAAAAAAAAAAAAAAAAAAAAAAAAAAAAAAAAAAAAAAANAGAAACATCCTGGTGTGTTGGAAGAGTATTTTTAGAACTCTACATTGTAACAACTATTACCACTGCGTAATATAGTATGCATGTACGTAAAAAAAAAAAAAATGTGTTTTGAATGTTTGGTTGCATAAATATTGATTTGGTTACATAGCCTCGCTGTATTAGGTTAATATAGGGTTGTTTGATGCTTCCCACGTCATCTGTGTAAATTTAGACCTCAGTTGAATATTTTTTCAAATTTGAAATTAAAAACTACTTCGCAGCGTTAAAATTTTCGATAAATCAAGCTTTTTGTGGCATTTTTGTGTGATTAAGAGTTTGATGAGCGAAAAATTTTTTTTCTTATTCTTTCGTTTATTTTACGTTTTACATATTATATACACGCGTGTTTTAATCTAGAGAAAAAGTGATGAGTTAGGAGTTGTCGAAAAAAAAACCTTGAGTTAAAAAAAGTTGGTTTATATTTCATTATCCGTGAGAGTCACACTTTATGACTAATGGAAAAAAAAAATAATAATAGTACGACTTTTGGTCTCTTCATTCGCAAGTCTTTGTGTAGTTTTTATGTTACATAAGCTTAGTATAACACCATCGACCATAATAATATCTGATGGAGATAAAAAAGTAAGGAATCACTGAAGATGTTTGAACTGTCAATACATGAAAAAAAATTTGCAGCAATTGTTTTAAAATAGACAAAGAGAATTTCGAGTATAGTTGTACTCTTTAAAAAAGACATCATCGCATCCTTTGTCGAAATCTTTGTCCCGTCCAAAAATAAATCGAGACAAAAAGATTAGCCGGAAACATGCAGAGGCGTGATTGTACACTGCACATGGCATATTTTGACAAACCTTTGGAAGTGCCCGACACGTGCGAGACACGTTTTTACCCCCCCAACGTCTCACGTCTGGAAAAAATCTTGTTCTTCCCGAGAAGACTTTCTTTTGTTACTTTCCACATTTACTGCTATACTATAAAGAAAAAAAATTTAATACATAATAGTAGTTTAGTTTTTATGATTTCGCGAGTGCGTCGATCTTCAAGTCCCAACTCTTTAAACGTATGCCCACACAGACAGACCAACACGTTTCGTCGCTGCCGCCGCGCACGTAATAGCGGTTGGCATTTATTTTTAAGCTTTTTAAATATCTGCTCGGACTTTGCGCGGCGCTTCTGTCAATTTACCAAAATAACACACAGCGTTTCGCTCAAGACACGTGCTGTGTGCGAACTTTGGCTTCATTCTGTTTTTTTTTCTTTTTCTTTTTCTTTTTCTTCATCGGATGAATTTGTTTTTTTAAGAAGAAAAAGAAAAATTACCCTTTTTTTTTGGATGTGTGAAAATTTATCATTTAGCACTTTGAGGATGTGCCGTAATTTTCGAATTTTACGCACACCTACATATTTCATATTGCGTACACATGGTTTTAAATAAATTTAACGTAGGAAAAAAATATAAAATTTATTCTTGGATTCATAATGTTTTTGGGGACTCAATAGGCAATAAATGTCGTACGAATTGACGTAAATTAAGTGTTTTTAGAGAATAACAAATGGGAGGAAAAACATACATTGTCTGGGTGATATCGATGGGTGCATTTATTTTTTTAAAATAGGAAAAATTTTTTTTATCTTGATGCAATGTCCACAGTTGAAAAAAAATTCACCAACAAAAATTTAATACAAAAACGACGTGAACTAACGTAGCCGACTTTTCCCGCTTGAAACTGTAGATAAGAATAATAAAGCAAAGGAGAGGTAACTTTGTACATACGTATACTTTTGCCTTGACGCAACGCGAGGATGGTTAGAAAAACCTGGAGGAACTGCGTTTATTTATCTTGTCTTCCGCCCTCGTTGGCGTATCTGCGATTAAAAGTAATTTTACGCGTTGCTTTTAGCTAAACAAACGAAAACAGATATAGGGACGAGCTCATTTTGTCAACAGACATCGTTTTCAACGACAATTTTTGGGTCGTTTTGTTTGTTAGTTCATCAGTGCAGATACTATACGATGCAAATGTCACATGTGTTAAAAACTAAGTAATCCATGTTCATCTCTGATTGGTAAAATTAATAAATTTATACTGATGTACATCAATCACCTTTAATACAATGCATATTTTATTATTAACGGTTGTTTTTAACGTTTAAAAATTTATTTATAACAGTTATTAAAAAAAAAAAAGATATGATTCGTACATCAGTTTTTTTTTTAGTTAAAAGCATGTCGTCTTTGTATCTCGGAAACTGATTAAAAATGTGATGATCTTAATGCGAAGTAAAGAAAAAAAATCAATCTCGTTTGAAAGCACAGAAAGCGTTGATGCAACATGGCTCTATCGGAATGAATTTTTTTTAAACTCAAGTGCCGATATTTGTACACGAAAGAAGAAAGTTAAGATCACCTCTGTCGCAGAAAATCGCTCCTTTTTTGAGTTGAACAAATGTTGTCAAATCACTGTCACCAACAGTTTTAGAAAATCCGCGTATTCTATGTTTTTAGTGCACGTGTATTTATAAACATATTTTCGATTGGCATTGGTATTAAACCAACCGATCACTTGGAGTTTTTTTAGTCGATGTAGCATATACACATACACGTGAAAGCTGTAGAGGGTGCGTTATAAAATAAGACTACGTACACATGAAAAACTTGACTTTAAGAAATACACTCGTCGTAACCAAAGCATCGTTGTTTGATGTTGGACAGATGGACAGGCCTTACTTCTCTTAGTGTTGGATATTATATATACGTCGAGGACCACCTGGTCGATTAAATCTGATAGTATTATTAGTTGGCTTAACTGATAAAAAAATGGCAAATTTTAAAAATAATTAATGAAATATTAAAATTTGATACAAGAAACAAAACTGTGTAATATTGGAAAAGAGTACATGGTTTAAAAATTTACAACATTTACAAAAAAAAAAAAAAAAAAAAGTTGCCTCTTATACCTAGGAAGTTAAACAAGACAGATGGATCGGCCGCAGGTGACGTCTCGCATTATTGGAATCGATGCGTATACATATAATCAGGTTCATCGGAAGAGCGTACACGGCAAAGGAGCGAACGAGGAGGAAAAAAAAAAAGGAAAAAAATTGTCGTCCGACTTTCTCTTGCCCGAATTTTCGAGTGTACCGTGTATTGACCTTGACGGTGGGTCCACGCGAGCGGTGGGGATAAAGGACAGCGTAGGGGCGTATTGTAACGACGCACATGCAGGGAAGCCGGTAACTGTATAAATTTTTCACCGGCAGCATCAGAGCAGAGAGCCAGTGTCACGGTCAAGGAGGTGGTGCTCCCATGTATAGGTATATAATACTCCTTACCTCCTTTGCCTCTCTTGGCTCTTGCGGTTTGCGTATAGTGGTTGCGGCCGTACACGCGGGATATAATATCGGCGGCGCGCCGGTAAGCACGTACCATTCGAATTCGCGAGCTGCTCGAGGACTCAGCGTCAAAGACGGTGGCTCTTTTTTTCCCGTTTTGTTGGTTGACAGGTTTTTTAAAACATTTTTTTCTTATTTCACAAGTGGTTTTTTGTGCGGTAATAGCTGAAGGCGTGATTAGTAAGCGGCTCTTTCCGGAAGTGGTTTTTCCAGAGTGTCCGTGAGTATACATTGAGTTTTGTCTCGCATTNAGGTCAATGCAACCAAGTTCATATAGCTTTTGAAAAATAGTTTTCATAAAAAATTTTATTACAATTATAAATAACTTTCAACTAATAACAATGGACAACTGAATGGTACCGCCAGCGATTAGAAGGGGCATGTTTCTAGTGGTAAATCGTGATGTCCTGATGTAGAAATGCCTATGATATTCAAATGAAAAGTATGTAATTTACTAAACAGATTTACGATTAGTATTTCTATTGTACTGTGGAGCTTTCTGGACAATGGAAGATTTTGGTATGTGCGTATATTACGTTGGTGATTTAAATTGTTTAGAACTAAAGTCTTTTCAAAAATAAATTAATTTTTTTAGTCGAAAATTTTATTAAATCCAATTAATACAAAAGTGTAATCTTGGTGCGTTTACAATGAATTTCAACACATCCATCCAATTTTAGCAGTAACGTTAATGAATACCAAATTTTACTTCATATTATGCTTTTGACTCTAAGCTGTATTAAAAACATGATTTTTCAAAATTTGAAGCTTTTGTGGTCCTTTTTAGTAAATACACATAAATATATATCAATAATCAGTACAAACGTAGAAAAAGTGTTATCATCAAATAATTTTCTCAGAAATAAGCTATATATATTGTACCCTTTACTTAAAAGTTACGTGAACAATATTTTTTTTAGACTAACATTTAATAGTCTCTTCTAAAAACCTCGTCAATTTGGTGCATCAATACATTGATTCAACCAATTCAACAATCACCTGGTATTGAGAAAATTCTTGCACTATAATTGATATTAAAATAATCGTAGAGTCTTGATACAAATGGATCAATGAAAACATGAGCTATGGGGTCACTTAAAACGCCATAAGACAATTTGATTGCCTTAAGTATCAGTAGAAAAGTAGACCTATCCAATGGCGTACTTTGAGAATTAGTAGAATCAATTAAAAGCCCAAATTCTTTAGTTGTAAAATGTTTTTCAAGTTTGGAAAGCGTACTCCATTCATATTTGTGAATGAAATCCTGCAATAAGGATACAAAATAAGTCTTCTTCGTCGTTTAAAATCATAAAAAGTTAAAAATCAAGTGTCTAAGTCAGTTTAAAAGCTTAGAAAAATTATAGGTAAAAACAAAATAACTCACTACTTCAGATGACCAGTTTTTTTCACACCCCGTACAATTACAAATGAAGGCAAATGATGCTTTTATTAACCTTTGCCTCATTATTTTGTCCATCCTTGCTGTAGACTTATAACTAATGGTTATCTAGAATTTAAATATTATAAAATTCAAAAGTTTAATTTGCTTGGTGATAACGAGTAACAACTTTATTTTTTTAAACTTTTTTATTAGTGAATTATATCGGAAATTACCTGTTCCCCTTTTTTAATGGGTTTTGTTGCACAGACAAACATATCCAAATTGGAAGTTTCAAAGTGTTTAGTATTACTGTAACAACTGTGATTAATCAAACTGCACAACGACAAAAGCAATATTCCAATGTTTCGCTCTCCGCAAAGGCTTGGGCAATTTTTTCCGAGTATCGAGGATTCACACGTACCGCCAAACTTAATATTATGTTTGATAAAATTACTATTTTGATATATTTAAAATCACTTAAATATGAAGAAAAAAAAATATATTAAACAAACCTCGAAAGAGTTAAGTTCTACAATCCGTGTTAATTCCAAAATAATATCCACGAATGTATCATTGTCAAAAGACGTTGGACCATTAAACTTGATAGGGTCAAAGATATTTGAATTCCGCACCAGAAATATTATGGCCTTGTCCAGCAAAGCTTTAAACATCATTTTTGTAACCGAGCGTATATTCGGCAATGTACAACGTGACAAATTGAAAATACTTTTAAATGTGTTGTATTGAAAGTTTGGATCGTCATCGAAAAATCCTTGAAAATATTCACCTATAAAAACATATAGAGTCAATAGAATCATCGAAAATTTAAATGATCCATAGTTTGAGCAGTTACGAACCTCTACTGTGCAAATCATTGATCTCACGGGCACCTTCGACAACATTGAGTAAACCCTCTCTTTTTACCAATTTTATGAGTAATCGAATCGCCAGCAACAATGAATCCTCAATTCCAAGATCGAATTTAAGTACCTCAAAGATCGTGTATTTTGTGTACGGCAAAACAACGCATTCAGCATCGTGATACTGCGCCCAAGCCTCTTTCCTGCACTTTTCCGAGCAGTATATCACAACCACGCAAGACTTGCACGGCAACCCATTGCAAGCAAAGGCCAAACAATGGGAGCAAACCAGGTAGGTCTTGTCCCTCGAGGGAAACTGAGCAAGGGCTTTCTCAATCACAATGACTTGTCCAGGTTCTATGTTCTTGGTGGCCACCACGTGCGTCCCAAATTTCTCGTTGTGGGCCAGAGTGACACAGTCGTAGGCGCACGGGATGGTCGGGGACCTGTTGCCAACAGTGAGAGACTCGACAGCTTCGACATTACCAGAGCCAATGGAGTTGCTCTTGTCGTTCCTCAGCTTCATGCACTTCATTTTTCGGGTCAGAAGCTTCACCCTCAGCTCGTCCGACTTGGTGATCTGATGGGCCATTTTGATGTCAACGAGACACTCCTGGTACTTGTGCAAACGAAACAGCAGAGCTGATCTGTTGGAGTAGGCCAGGGCCAGTTCCTCGGAGCCATCCTCCGCCAAAGCCGCGCTTTCGGAGTAGCAGGACAGAGTGTCGAGGTAGATTTTCTTGGTATGACTGGTGCTTCTGTACAGTTTGTTGCCCCTTTCGCGAGCGGCCGTCGATGCTTCTGCAGATTTTTTTGAATACTTTGTTATAGTTTGTTGCCTGGCACGGCTTAAGTTTTGTCGAGCTTCCATATCCGAGATAAGCAAACCAACGAGGTTGAGCGAATCAACTGAAACAAAGAAATATACGTATAATTGGTGTTTTCCATCTTAATTATCCGTTGAAATCTTGTGCATGTGTACACTTGAATTGTTCAAGGGGTTCAAGGAAGATTATAAAAAGAACACCAGGATGGAGAACAAAATTAATGGCTTGCTAAATACGTATACTTATTTGCTGGTGATGCAATGTTTAGTGTTGTATACGTGTTTGACAATACAACTTTAACGAGTCAATCAGTAAATGGGGAGTTGGGGTTCAATTTACTTAACAATGAAAATGTTTCAAAAAAATGTGTGGTAAGGAAACATTGCTTTGACGTAGTTACCAAATTTGAACGATATCGCGTCTAAAGATTTCGAGAAAAAAAATTTATCAAGTTTCCCTTTTTGCTCGTCTCATGTAAGTTGTTAACAAAGGTGTAGAAAAATACCTATCACATGAAAGTGTTTTGAAATACTAATATGTGGTTTATAACAACTTTACTGATACACGTATAAGATTTGTTCGATTAAGAGGTTCCGAGCGCTCGGAGCGCTCCGAACTCTCGCCCGAACACGCGTTCTTGCTCCGAGCGCTCCGAGCGTTCCAAGTGCTCGTGACTCAGGCGGCCTGTGGATAGCCGTGTAAGATCCAGCTCAACGTAATCGCGAGTAAACAAACCGTTTTTTTGTTTTGATTGCATAGTTGGAAGGTTTTCTATTGTTTATCATGACACCGGAAAATGTTAGTATTATATTAATGTTACAAAATATTAAATTCATATAGAAATATAAAAGTAATTGTATGTTATCAAATTCGATCATCCTCAATATCATAGCCACATTCGCCACAACGCAATTTTATCAAAGTCTATTGCAAATTCGTAAATGCTTAGCTAATCTCATTAATTGAAGCATAAAAAAAAAACACTTATCGATTGTTTTTCCATTTTAGAAAAAACTTGGCAAAACTTTAAAACAAAAACTTTTTTAAAAACACATCAGCTTTTTCACCTCGTAACTATACTAGAGCTGTCGACAACCACTTTCTAATTCGTATGAAATAAAATAAAATCGTTTTTATGAATCATTGATTACTATTAAAAATAATATAGGTTAGCTGGATCTTACACGGCTATCCACAGGCGGCCTGAGTCACGTGCACTTGGAGCGCTTGGAGC